AGCAGAAGGAGTGGCATGTGCAAAATCCAGAGGCCAGGCTCACCCTTGTAATCCTAGCTCTTTGAAAGGCCAAGGCAGGAAGATTGCTTGCACCCAGGAGTTTGATACCAGCCTGGGTAACATAGTCAGACCTCATCTCTACAAAAAAATCAAAAAATTAGCCAAGTGTGGTGGCATGCACCTGTAATCCCAGCTACTTGAGAGACCAAGGAAAGAGGATTGCTTGAGCCCAGGAGTTCAAGGCTGCAGTGAGCTGTGATTGTTCCACTGTATTCCAGTATGGGCAACAGAGTAAGACCCTGACTCAAAAACAACAACAAAAAACCAGAGACCAGGAAGCTGGGAAACTTACAAATAAACAGTTTGGTATTCTTATAGAATGTGAACCAAAGGGGAGAGAGAGAGGTCAGGTTGGTGGACAGGTAGTAGCACAGATGGGGCAGGGCCTTGTATACCACATGAGAAAGTTTGGACTTCATCTGTGGGGGCAGCCAAAGAGCTTTGAGGGTTTTAGACAGGGCTCCACTTACCTCCCCAGCTGCTGCTGCTTTTCTCTTTCTCTGTCACTGGTCACGCTCACTTGTTCCTGCAAAGGCCAATGTCTTTCTTGCCTCAGGCTTTTGCCTGGAATGTACTGTAAAGATTATTCTGATTGCCATTTACTAACTAGATTAGAGGAGGGAACGCCTAGAATAGGGGGTCTGATGCAGTGGTCTAAGTGGGAGGAGACAGAGGCCCAAAAAGTGGAGGTGGCAGCATGGATAGAGAAGCATGGACAGATGTGTGTGATATTTTAGGAGGTTGAATTGACAGTGTCACAATTGACAAGTGATTGAGTCGGGGGCAAGGATGATACTCAGGCCACTGATGTTCAGACAGATTAGAGCAGCAGCAGGCTGTAATCTGATTCCCAGTGATCCACCTCATGGTATGCTTCAAGACCTCACTGTCTCACTGGAACACAAGCTGCCTGAATTTGCTCACCTATTGTTGTGAATAAAGCTTATAGGTTTCAACTGCATTAATGCAACCCATGGCCTTGTTTATGTCTGACCTTAACATGATTATATGCCTTGGGTTCTCTGTAAACTAATACATAATAACAGGCTTACTTGTAAGCGTGATGGAATAAATAAGATAAAAATCAGAGTAAATGACCATGGTGATCATGATCAAGTAGTTCTTATTAAGGCCCATTAAGGGCCAGGTTTCCATGTGCAAAGTCCCTTTCACAAATTCAGTTTATATCATACGCACCTGACTAGAGATGCTTGAATTCCTGTAGTTGTTTAAACCCTAAAACCCAGACATTTCCAAGCTGGGCCCTCACCAAACACTGGACTCCTACTGCCTAGAGCTTTTCTGTTTACATTTGCTACTATAGAGATTTGGTTTGTTTCTGAAGGATGCATTTTAACTTTTGTGTGGTGAGGCACATTTGTTATATTTGAACCATGTGTGACGCAAGAGAGAAAGGTAACCACTTGACTTAGAGGGGGAAGGGTGAGTCTTTGGGTTAACAGAGGTACTTCTTGCCAATTTAAAATGAGCTTGTTAAATGGTGGGAGAAATTTTTAAAAGTGTATGTGTGTGCATACACACAAATACAAGCATTTATTTTTATAAGCTCAAAAGACTAATGTGGATATGAAGCCTATTAAAGGGGACAATGCTGTTTTCCAGTCTTAAACATAAAGGGAAAATCGCTCTCTGAGAGTCTGTATGACTGTCACTTTGGAATTGGATTATAACTCTCAGTTGACCTAGAAGGGCTTCTGGGACCAGACCTCATTCATGTCTTGCTATATCTTCAGTTATATAAATCATGAGAAACAAATGGAGAATGAGAAATGACTTCAACTGGTAGTGGAATGATTTATAACTTGATAATACAGATGGAAAACTAAGGTCCACAGAAATCGATTTCTCTCTGATCCACAATGAATTTATTCCTTCATTCAATAAACATAATTTAGTATGTATTATAAGCCATATTAGTTATCTATTGCTGTGTAACAAATTACCCCAAAATTTAGTGACTCAAAACAACACACATTTATTGTCTCACACATTTTGTGGGTCAGGACTTGGCAAGATCCTCTGCTTCAAGGCCTCTCACAAAGCTGCAACCAAGATTCTGCCAGGACTAGAGTCTCATCTGAAGGCTTGACTAGGGAAAGATCAACTCCAACCTTGTATAGTAGTTAGTTATGAGTTAGCTGTTTGTGGACTGTTTGACTAAAATTCTCAGTTTCTTGCTGGATGTTGGCTGAAGGCCATCCTCAGTTCCTTACTACATGGCCTCTGACATGGCATGTTACATCATATAAGTATACAAGGTAAGGAGGCAATAGAGAGTCTGCTAGGAAGGTGAAGTCATAATCTCTTGTAGCCTAATCACAGAAGTGACATTCCATCAATTTTGCTACTTTCTGTGGGTCAGTAGCAAGTCAGCAGTCCAGTCCACGCTTAAGGGGAGGAGATTACACAAGGGAGTAAATACCAGGAGGAGAGATCTTCTTAAATAGTCAGGCTTCTGTAACAGAATACCATAGAGTGGGTGGCTTGGACAACAGACATTATTTCTCACAGTTCTAGAAACTGGGAAGTCCAGGGTCAAGATGTCAGCAGACTCAGTGCCTGGTGAGGCACCCTCTTCCTTGTTTGCTGACAGCTGCTTTCCTGCTATTTCCTCACATGGCAGAGAGGAAGAGGGCTCTGGTCTCTTCCTCTTTTTTTTTTTTTTTGATTTGGAGTCTCACTCTGTCACCCAGACTGGAGTGCAGTAGCCGCTCCCCGCCACCGCAGCCTCGACCTGCTGGGCTCCAGCGATCCTTCTGCCTCAGCCTTCCATGTAGCCGGAATTACAGGCACGTGCTACCATGCCCGGCTGATTTTTGATTTATTGTAGAGATGAGGTCTCGCCAAGTTGCTCAGGTAATCCACTCACCTCAGCCTCCCAAAGGCGCGGGATTACAGGCTGAGCCACTGAGCCTGGCTGGTCTCTTCCTCTTTAAGGGCAGTCATCTCATCATGGGGGTTCAGCCCTCATGACCTCATCTAAACTAATTACCTCCTAGGGGCCCCACCTCCAAATATCTTCATATTGGGGATTCAGGCATCAACAGATGAATGGGGGGTTGGGAAAAAATCAGTTTTTTCTGTATCTTCAAACGCTTTTATTCTGACATCAGATGTATGAGTTTTTCCCAAACCAGTAAATTCTCCAACTCTCCAGACACCACTCGGGTGTCCTACACAGATTAAGGACTCAGTCCCACAAGACTGCCCACCACTTTGGAACCCAACTGAAAGTAGTGGGTCCTCCAAGTGTACCCATGCTTCTGTCCCATCTAGCTGCAAATCAGGGGTTCCCGTAATGATCTCCTCAGGTTCAGTAATTTACTATAACAGCTCACATAACTCAGGGAAGCATATGTACCAGTTTATTATAAAAGATATAATAAAGGATACAGATGAACAGACAGATAACAAAGTACATAGGGTGAGGTCCAGAAAGGTCCCAAACACAGGAGCTTCTGTTCTTGTGGAGTGAGTCATACCTAGCACATATGTGTTGACCAGCCTGGAAGCTTCCCAAAGGCGCGGGATTACAGGCGCCTTTGGGAAGCCCAAACCTATCTTCTAGGGATTTTTTTTATGGGCTTTATCACATAGGCATTACTGATTATTAACTCAATTTTTAGCCTCTCTTTCTTCCCTGGACGATGGATGACTGGGTGTAGGACTGAAAGTTCCACGCTTCTAATGTTTCATATTTTTTGTGACCAGCTTCCATCCTGAAGCTATCCAGGAACCCACCAAGACTTGCCTCATTAGAATAAAAGGTGCTTCAATCACCCAGAAAATTCTAAGAGAGTTAATAACTCTGTGCCAGAAACCAGGACAGAGATCAAATGTAAATTTCTTAAATCACAGTGGTAGCATCATTGAGATTCCTCTTTGAAAACCACCTACCACAGTTGGTACATATATTTAGATTTCTTTATTCTCAGCCAGCTATAGCTTTTTCTACCGGACCAAACTATCTGATGTGTGGTTGTGAAACACTAATAGGCTCAGTGTGGTAGGCTGAATAATGGCCCTCCAAAGATGTCTACATGTAATCCCCAAAATCTATGAGTATGTTACCGTAGATAGCATAAGAAGCTTTGCAGATGTGATTAAGTTAAGGATTTTTAGATGGATTATCCTGGATCACCCAGGTTGGACCGATGTAATCACAAGGTCCTTAGAGAGGCAGAAGCAGCTGAGTCAGGAAGGCAGTATGACAATGGAAGCAGAGGGAGGGAAAGAAAGGTGATGACAATCAGAGAGCAGAATGGTGCGGCTACAAGCCGAGGAATATGGACAGCTTGCAAGAGGTTGAAAAGGCCCTCCCCTTGAGCCTCCAAGAGAAATTCAGTTCAGCTGACACGTCAATTTTAGCCCCAGAAGACCCACTTAGTACTTCTGACCTCCAGAACAGAAAGATAATAAATTTATGTTATTTTAAGCCACTAGGTTTTTGATAATTTGTTTCAGCAGCAATAGGACACTAATATATTCAACTAAAGCCCATGGGGAAAACCTACTTATGTTTTTCAAGGGGCGAGGGGTTTAGCCACATGGTATAGGATATTGGGCTTTTTCTGCCTTCTAACAACTCTGAAACATAATTTATGGATTGTAGCTTCTCTGTTTTTAGGATATTGTTCCTAGCTCTCTCTATACTAAATCCTATCAATATTGAATAGGTAAACACATGCCTTAGGGTTAAAGATGGACTTAGGTCTCACATACTCTTCAAAATAATACAAAAACATGAAATTTATCAGAGGACACTAAGGCTGCTGTTTTAAAGCTGGTTGCTTGTCATTTGTTTGTACCTCAGGAGTGGAAATATTGGCCGAGATGAAAGTACCTGGCATAAATCGCTTTTCCTTCTTGGTGTTTCACAGCCAGATGTTGTGAAATTCTTTTGTTGTTTTTTTCTCTAGTGCCTGGAAACCTAGGCTGCTACAAGGATCATGGAAACCCACCTCCTCTAACTGGCACCAGTAAAACGTCTAACAAACTCACCATACAAACCTGTATCAGTTTCTGTCGGAGTCAGAGGTTCAAGGTAATGGCTCTGTGCCTATGTAACTATAGAAAAAAATAAAGATATAATTGTATTTTGCTGAGATAACTAAAAATAAGCACTAAGTAAAATAAGCCAGACACAAAAGGCTCATCATATTGTATGATTCCATTTATATGAAGTATCTAGAATAGACAAATCGATAGAAGCAGAAAGTAGGTTAGTGGTTGCCAAAAGGTGGGAGACAGGAGGAATTAGGACTCGTTGCTAATCAGTACAGGGTTTCTTTGCAGGGTGATGAATGTTCTAGAATTAAATAGTGGTAGTGGTTGCACAACACAGTGAGGATACTAACAACCACTGAAATATACACTTAAGAATGGTGAATATTGGCCGGGCTCGGTGGCTCAGCCTGTAATCCCGCACCTTTGGGAGGCTGAGGTGAGTGGATTGCCTGAGCCCGTGGGTTTGAGACCCGCCTGGGCAGCGAGACCTCATCTCTACAATAAATCAAAAAATCAGCTGGGTGTGGTAGCGCGCTCCTGTAATTCTGGCTACTCGGAAGGCTGAGGTGGAAGGATCGCCGGAGCCCAGCAGGTCGAGGCTGCGGTGGCCGGGAGTGGCCACTGCACTCCAGTCTGGGCGACCGAGTGAGACTCCAACTCAAAAAAAAAAGAATGGTGAATATTATGTGAATTACATTTCAATTTTTAGAAGAGCTAAAACTATTATGCTTTTAGAAAAATACACATAGAAAATCTTACAATATTTGGTTAAACAAATATTTCTTAAATGGAACACTAAAAAGACAAACCATAAAAGAAAAAGTTGGTAAATTGGGCTTATCAATATTAAAAACGTATCTTCGGAGGAAGAGGAGACAAACCTTCCCTTCTCATGAAGTTCACAGTCTATTGGGAAACAGATATTAAGCAAATAAGTATACACTTAAATTAAAAAACAAAAAAACTTATCTTCCAAAAAATGAGTTAAGAAAATGAAAAGGCAAGCCACAGACTGGAAGAAAGTGGTTGCTAAAATATATATCTGATAAAGGAATTTTATATAGAATATATCAAGAACTCTTATCATCAATAATATAACACACCCAGTTTTGAAATGGGCAAAAGATTTGAACATACATTTCACCCCCAAAAATATAATGTTGACCAATAAACACACGAAAAAATACTCATCATCACTAGTTATCAGGGAAGTATAAATTAAAACCACAGTGAGGTGCCATCACACACCCAGAATGACTAAAGTTAAAGACACTGAAGATCCTAAGGATGGATGAGGATGTGGAGCAACTCCTAGCCTGCTGGTAGGAATCTGAGATGGATAGCCTCTTTGGAGAAAGCTCTTGAAGTTTCTTATAGAATTAAATATGCACCTACCTTACAATTTAGCAATCTCACACCTGGATATTTGCCCAAGGTAGATAAAAGTCTGTGTTCACACAAAGGCTTATACATGAATGTTCACAGCAGCATTATTCATCATAGTTCCAAACTGTAAATAATCTAAAAGTCCATTAACTGATGAATGAATAAGGAAATTATAGAATATTCATACTGTAGAATAGTACTCAGCAATCAGAAGAAAAGATATGTTAAGATATACTAATAAAACAACATGGATGAATCTCCAAAGCATTATATTAATTGAAAGAATGTAAACACAAAAGACTGCATTCTAAATTCATGGTGGATCCTAGATCTAACTTTATAATGAAGAACTAAAACTTTTAGTAGAAAACACAAGAGAAAATCTATATGACCTGGGTTTAGGCAAAAAATTCTTAAGGCATGACACCAAAAGAATGATTCATAAAAATAAAAAAAGGATAATTTTAATTTGGACTTCATCAAAATTAAAAACTTTTACTCTGTGAAATATATTTTTAAGGAGATGAAAAAGCAAGCTGTAACCTGGAAGAAAATATTTGCAAATAATATAAGCAACAAAAGACTAGTATCCAGGATGTGTAAAACAAACAAACAAAAAACCTCTAGAAACACAATGGTAAAAAAACAAACAATGCAATTTTTAAAAGTGGCAAAAGACCTGAGCAGATACTCAACCAAAGAGGATATATAGATGGCAAATAAGCTCATGAAAAATAGTCAATGTCATTAACCATTAAGGTAATGCAAATTAAAACCACAATGAAATTCCACCATACACATATTAAAATGACTAAGATAAAATATATTGACAATAACAAGTGCTGACAAAGATATGTTGTTGTTGTGAAACTAAAATGGGAGACATTCTGGAAAAGTGTGGCAATTTTTTTTATAAAGTTAAACATACACTTACCATAAGACCCAGCAATCACATTCCTGGTTGTTATTCTAGAGAAATGAAAACTTACATTCAGGCCGGGCTCGGTGGCTCAGCCTGTAATCCCAGCACTTTGGAGGGCCGACGTGAGTGGATTGCCTGAGCCCGCGGGTTTGAGACCTGCCTAGGCAACTTGGTGAGACCTCATCTCTACAATAAATCAAAAATTAGCTGGGTGTGATAGCACACGCCTGTAGTTCCAGCTACTTGTAAGGCTGAGGCGGAAGGATCGCCGGAGCCCAGCAGGTCGAGGCTGTGGTGGCTGGGAGCGGCCACTGCACACCAGTCTGGGCGACAGAGTGAGACTCCAACTCAAAAATAAATAAATAAATAAGAAAACTTACATTCACATAAAAATCAGTACATAAATGCTTACAGCAGTTCTATTCATAATCATGAAAAAAACTAGAAACTACCAGGTGGATGAACGAATTGTGGTACATCCACACAATGTACTCTGCTCAGCAATTTAAAAAAAAAACAAAACTGGGGTGGCCATGAGTGTGCCACTGCACTCTAACCTGGGCGACGGAGTGAGACTCCAACTCAGAAAAAAAGTAAACAGCAAGGCATTAGTAGCTCATGCCTGTAATCCCAGCACTTTGGGAGGCCGAGGTGAGTGGATTGCCTGAGCCCGCATGTTTGAGACCAGCCTAGGCAACTTGGTGAGACCTTGTCTCTACAATAAATAAAAAATTAGCTAGGTGTGGTAGTACGCACCTGTAGTTCTGGCTACTTGGAAGGCTGAGATGAATGGATCACCAGAGCCTAGCAAGTTGACTCTCGGGTGGCCATGAGTGTGCCGTTGCACTCTAGCCTGGACGACGGAGTGAGACTCGAACTCAGAAAAAAAGTAAACAGCAAGGCATAGTAGCTCATGCCTGTAATCCCAGCACTTTGGAAGGCTGAGGCTGGAGATCACTTGAGGCTAGAAGTTCGAGACCAGTCTGGTCAACATAGTGAGACTCAGGAGGCTGAGGTGGGGAGATCACTTGAGCCCAGGGGTCTGAGACTACAGTGAGCTGTGATTGTGTCACTATGCTCCAGCCTGGATGACAGAGACTCCATCTCTTCTAAAAAAAGAAAAGGCAGACTATTCATACATATACCAATTTGGATGGACCTCAAAGATATTATGCTGAGTGAAAGAAGCTAGTCTCAAAAGGTTATATATTGTTGATTCTGTTTATATGACCTTCTGGAAAAGACAAAACTACAGTAATAGAAAATTGGTCAGTGGCTTCCAGGGATCATGGGGTGGCTATAAAGCAATGGGACAAGGAGAGTTTTTGGGGTGATGCAACTGTTCTGTATCCTGATTGTACTGGTCATTACACAAAGCTATACAAGGGTTAAAATTTATAGACCTATATACCAAAATACTAAATGGTAATATTTTTAAAACTAGAATTTTTAAATGAGGTCTATAATGAGTTTGCTTTAAGGATTAGCTATAAAGCACTTACTACCTGGCACATAGTAAACAGTCAACAAAACATTTAGCTGTTATTATTCATGTTTCAATTTATGAGGTTTTTCTCCCCCTTAAAACTTAACAGTACGGTAGAAATGCAGACACTAAAAAGGAATGCTCAAGCTGGGCATGGTAGCTCATGCCTGTAATCCCAAGCACCTTGGAAGGCTGAGGTGGGAGGATTGCTAGAGCCCAGGAGTTCAGAACCAGCCTGGGTGACATAGTGAGACCTCATTTCTACAAAAAATAAAAATAAAAGGTATGCTTACTGACAGTGAAACACATTGGTGATGCGTAGTTACTGGTCAGCTTGGAACTATGTGTTACAAGATTGGAATAAGGGAGAGGTCCCGGGGAAGGGTGACCTGGGACAATAAGGTTGATTGCTGGTTGGGGGCTGACCCACTAGGCTCCTTCAGGCCACCTGACACCCTGATCATACCATGTGCTACTTCTCTGTTGTGGCAGTTTGCTGGGATGGAGTCAGGTTATGCTTGCTTCTGTGGAAACAATCCTGATTATTGGAAGTACGGGGAAGCAGCCAGTACCGAGTGCAACAGCGTCTGCTTTGGAGATCACACCCAACCCTGTGGTGGTGACGGCAGGATCATCCTCTTTGATAGTGAGTATGCCATGTGCCCATCACTGCCCACAGATGAGAACCCTTAGACCAGAATACCCACCTTCCCTTCCATGTATTCATTCATTCACTCGGCAATACTTCTGCACCAGACCCTGGGAATCTAGCGCAGAGCATGAAGACTCAGCTCTTGCCTCCTAGAAGGAAGAACAGATGTTTAGCAAGTGATTAGCTACAGTCATGCCTAATGATTCAAAGCTCTGTGAACTATTATGAAATGCTTAGACAACCTAGGAAAGATGCCATGCCAATACTGATATTAGTATCTATATAAAATTGGAAAGGGGATCTTTCCTAGGTTGTCTAAGCATTTCATAATAGGTTATCCTCTTGTTTTAATATAATTTCCAAGCCCTTTTAATATTTGGTTTTTTGTGTTTTGGTTTTTCTCTTTTGGCATTTGGGATTTATACCTTGTTGTGATGCAACTGAGAAGAGACCATATTCTTTAAGTTATATTTGCAGGCCTGCCTTTGGGTTTGCCCTGACCCATATTCTCTCTGAGCTACCATGTTTGTGAGATGCTGGTGAGGGGCAAAGAGTGTTCTGAATAGGGTGTGGATCCAGGGCCTTGACCCCTCTGACTCATGTTCTAACCACTGACCCACCAGATTCCTCATTGTAATCCACCAGCATCTACTCAGAGGTAGTGAGACTCTATGAGAGTTATAGCACTGATGTAGCACCAGCTTTTAAATGATGGAAAGAAAATAGTTACAAATGAGGCAAACAAAAGAAAAGGCTTGAGATACCAAGAAATACTATTGTGCCTTTGTTGGTCATTAGGGTAGAGGAGACACACTCCTGACATCTCAACCAAGCAGGCTGGCTCAGTTTTGAGCAAAAATATCATATGGTGTATTAGTTTCCTAGGATTTCCTTAACAAAGTATCATAAGTTACATGGCTTAAAACAACAGAAATGGGGCAACCAACTTTCAGGTCCCCTCTTGCTGACAAGAACTTTCCTGTCTTCTAATAAACTCCGACTTGCTAAAAAAGGAAGGAAGGAAGGAAGGGAGGGATGGAGAGAGGGAGGGAGGAATTCTTTCACAGTTCTAGAAGCTAGAAGTACAAAATCAAGGTATTATCAGGCCTGTGCTACCTCCAGGGACTCCAGGGAAACTTTCCAGCTTCTGATGATCCCCAGCAATTGTTGGAGTTTGTAGGCTTGTAACTGACCCAATTCCTGCCTTCTCTTTTACATGGCTATCTTCTCTCTTATGTGCCTGTGTCTCTGTACATCTCCTTAAAAGGATACCAGTCATTGGATTTACGGCCCACCCTGATCTTAACTTGATTACATCTGTAAAGACCCAATTTCCAAATAAAATCACATTCACAGATACCAGGCATTAGAACTTGAGCATATATTTTAGGGGGACAGTTTAGCCACTATACGTGGTGACAACAAAACCCTGCTCAGTTTTATAACTGAGCCTGTTGCAAGCTATAGCTTAGACATTACCTAAAGTGTATGTAGTATATTTGGGGCTAGAGGAAGGGGTAAGGATTGGTGAGCAGAACTCACATGGTCAGTTGTTGGTCTTCTTAGCTAAGTGTGTCCATTGTAGACGGCCAGTTGCTTCCTGTACATCCTGTTATGTCCAGACAGATGCTCAGTTAAATATCTCTGCTTCAGCTAAAGATCGAACTTGGCTAATGATTAAGGAAGTTTGCTAATGTTTAGTTGGTAAATAACTATTTAACCTTTCATTCCAGAGTTCCTCATTGTAAGATTCTCTATCTTGACACCTTAATCCAGGAGAGAATGTCTGCCGAGCTTACAAATGCCTAATATACTCTTAAGTGAAAAAAAAAGGACATGAACATTTAATTTTTTTTAATTAAATTAAATTTTAAAGTTCTGGGGTGCAAGTCAGGATTGCTTCCATAAGTGGTTTAGGTGCAGGTGAAGTTTTGGGCCTCCCACTGGACCTCACTTTGCCTGGATTAGGATCAGTTACCCTTGTTGATGTTAAGTGCCCCGCCCCACCCCTGGCAGTGTCCCTCAACTTCAAATCCCTTTTTTGTAGTATTATAATAGCTGTTCAGGGTCCATTTATGAGTGAGAACATGTGCTATTCAATTCTTTGTTTCGGTGATAGATCACTGAGTATGCGAGATTAATCCTGCGCCTTTGGGAGGCTGAGGTGAGTGGATTGCCTGAGCCCGTGGGTTCGAGACCCGCCTGGGCAGCGAGACTTCATCTCTACAATAAATCAAAAAAATCAGCTGGATGTGGTAGCGCATGCCTGTAATTCTGGCTACTCAGAAGGCTGAGGTGGAAGGATTGCCAGAGCCCAGCAGGCAAGGCTGCGGTGGCCGGGAGCAGCCACTGCACTCCAGTCTGGGTGACTGAGTGAGACTCCAACTTTAAAAAAAAAAAAAGAGAGATTCCAAATCCATCCAAGTTGCTGCAAAGCCCATAATTTGGACATGAACATTTCTTGAGTATCTATTATGTGTTAAGGTTTTCCATAAATTATCACATTAAGTTCTCCTGGCACCCTTCTGAAGTAGGTATTATTATAATTACTCTCATTTTACAGAAGAGAACCCTAGGATGTGGAGAGGATAAATGACTTGCCAGGGCTCACACTGCCAAGAAGCCATTGGACTAGAAAGGAAACAGGAGCAGGGTGTGAGGGTTCTCTACCTGCGTTTCTACTTTAAATAGACTGCAGTGTTAATTTAAAAATGGAAAATAAGTGTTGGTAGGGATATAGAGCAATTGGAACCCTCAGACACAGCTGGTAGAAATATAAAATGGTGCTACTACTTTAAAGAACAATCTGGTAGTTCCTCAAAATGTAAAACAGAGTTACCCTATGACCCAGCAGTTCCACTCCAAGATATATATCTGAGTGAACTGGAAGCATGTTTCCACAAAAGCTTGCATACTAATGTTCCTAGTAGCATTATTCAGCATAGCCAAAAAGTGGCAACAATACAAGTCCATCAGCTGATGAAAGAATAAACAAAATGTGATATATCCATATGATATAATATTATTCAGCCATGAAAAGAAATGAAATACTAATGTATGCTACAACATGAATGAACCTTGAAACTGCCAACCTAAATGAAAGATCCAGATGCAAAGGGCCACATACTTTATAGTTTCATTTACATAAAGTATCCAGAGTAGGCAAATCCATGTAGACAGAAGGCAGATTCCTGGTTGCCAAGGGCTAGGAGAAGGCAAGGAATAGGGAGTGACTGCTTAATGGGTACATATTTTCTTCTTAAGCTGATGGAAATGTTCTGGAATTAAATAGTAGCAATGACTGTACAACATTGTAAATAAACCAGGCTCGGTGGCTCAGCCTGTAATCCCGCGCCTTTGGGAGGCTGAGGTGAGTGGATTGCCTGAGCCCGCGGGTTCGAGACCCTTCTGGGCAGCGAGACCTCATCTCTACAATAAATCAAAAAAAACATCAACCGGGCTTGGTAGCGCATGCCTGTAATTCTGGCTACTTGGAAGGCTGAGGCGGAAGGATCGCCGGAGCCCAGCAGGTCGAGGCTGCGGTGGCCGGGAGCGGCCACTGCACTCCAGTCTGGGTGACAGAGTGAGACTCCAACTCAAAAAAAAAAAAAAAAAAAATTGTAAATATACTAAATACCAGTGAATCATACATACATAGGCAGTCTGGCTTAAGATGGTCAATTTATGACTTTTCAACTGTAAAATGAGTTTGTTGGAGTATTAAATAGGTTATTAAATATTCAGCAATGGGATATGTAGCACTTTTTCTAAGATGAATTCGTGAACTTAATTGTCAGACCTCATAAGTAGCATCTTGGTACTAGAAATATATCTAGGAATAGTACTAGTCCTTACACAAAGATGCACTAAAATGAATTAATTATAATGAAAACTTGCTACTTATTGAGTGCTTGCTGTGTGCTAGGCTTGATACCGAGTGCTTTTGTGTATATATATAATTACATTTGTCATTTTATTATAAAAGATATTACAAAGGATACAGGTGAAGAGATTCATAATAAGGTATGGGAAAGGGCGTGAAGTGTCCATGTCCTCTCTGGACACACCTCCCTCCAGGAACTACTGCATGTTCAGCTATCCAGAAGCTTGCTTTTGTATATTTTATGATTCTTTCATTCTTATAACAACATTATGATAAGAAAACTGTGTATCAAAAAATGAAGTAATTTGTCCAAGTCAGTATAGTGCCAGAGCTAAGAGTCAAACCCAGATTTGCAACATATTTTATTTTTTTTAATTTTCAGCAGCTAGAATCCCTTTAATTAATAATAAAATAGATCATAATAACTGATCCAGTTTTATGCTTTAAAAAGTATGTGAACAAATCCCAGTGCTTTAGGAGGCTAAGGTGGGAGGACCACTTGAGGACAGGAGTTCGAAACCAGCCTGGGCAACATAGCAAGACCCCATCACTACAAAAAATAAAACATATTAGCTGAGTGTGGTGGCACATGCCTGTAGTCCTAGCCACTTGAGAGGCTGGGGTAGGAGGATCACTTGAACCTAAGAATTTGAGGTCGCAGTGAGCTGTGATTGCATGACTGTATATATTCCAGCCTGGGTGGCAGAGCAAGACACCATCTAAAAAATAAGTAGGTGAACAAAGTATGCCAGTTGTTCTGATAGTCATCAAATTGGCCCCTTATACAGCTGTCTAGGAGCTGTCTTTTCTGGCTTACATTCACTCAGGGACTAAGAAGGCTGGCATTCTAAGAGGCTGCTTATTATATAGCTTTCTGAGGCTCTGATAAGTGTGGACTAGCAGGACCCCTGACAGTAGCCACCTCTGTAACTTATACCCCACTGTGCTGTAAAAACAGTCTCTGAAGTTTCATCTTCGAGAGAGCAAGATATTTTAAATAGCTCCAGTGCTGCCTCATGGAAATCCTTATGATCCATTGGACAAGGCTGGACACTTTGGAAATGACCACAGACTGTCCCATGATTTGGGAGGATGAGAATGTTTCTCTGAA